CTGACCCAAGGTCACCCGGACCTGAAATTTTGAGGTCATATGTAAAAAGGTTGCCCCATAAGCTGTGCCAAATTTGGCGGCGCTACGCGCCGCCGTTTTTACGCTATCTTCGAAAAACCTTAGGGGGGTCGCATCGACCCCCCCCCCCTGCCAGGGCGAGGGTTAAGAAAAATACGAGATAACTACATTCAAGTTGTGAGGCCTCCAGGAGATAGTACTATGCAGATCATATAAGCTTCATCCCCCAGTGAAAGGTCCCCTGGTACGAAAGGTGGTGCGACGTTGCGACATTTTGGGACCTTACAGAGGTTCACTTTTGACGTCATTGGTCAACGGTCTGACCTTAACCTTCGCACTTGTAGGAGGGTGTCGAACAGAACCCCCTCTCAGTTTTTCGAAAATAACTCGCGCAAAAAGCGGCTGTTCGCGACGAAACTTTCAGTACCCTCGAGTTAATCAATATTACGCCTACCCTTAACATTTTTATGACCCTGACCCTTTGACTTGTGACCTGTTTTCTGAGACCATTTTTGGCCGGAATCGCGATTTAGCGTATTTCGTCTCACAATATGAGCGTGTTTATTGTCTTTTTTGTGGCTTTAAGCGATCAAACATGTGAAAGGATGTTGATCCCATGGATTCTAGTGGGTGTTAAGGTCACGTGAAGGTCAGTCAGGTCGCTGACCTTTGATGACCTTAGTTCACTGCTTCGAGTTCTACATGTTTCTAGGGTAGATTTTGGAGTTGATTTCGCATTTAGAAACCGTTTGAACATTTACGAAGTAGTTTTGGTTCCCTCGTAACATGTGACCTGACCTGACCTGACCCGACCTGGACTAAATGCACGAAAACATCATCTGTGATAAAAAATAGTTTGAAATTCATGATCAGCACCCCGCAAAGCCTTATAACAGCCTCACTGTAAAAAGCTCTAACAGGTCCCGATTTTCCCGACTTTTGAGTACATATTGACCTATCAACAAATGACCTAGGACCTTAAAATTGGGTATCAACGGCCTCCTCTCGTCACGGGCAACACGCTCTTTTTCCGCGAACCTCTAGCTCGATCAGGGGCCGAACGGCAAAGGGGTCCAACGGACCCCCTCCCCTTTACGCTAGACGCTGGCAAAACACCTAACCAAAGGTTAGGTGTTTTGCCAAAGGCCGCCTAACCAAGGGTAACTCACCATCCAATGCTCAGATGCCTTCTCACGATATCATAACCCAGATGTTTCAACACATCAAGGGAATATGTAGCACAGTTAGGGAACTTGTTGAACAGGTCAAAGTTCTGGCATCCACAACTCCTCCACAAACCCTCCTGACTCCAATGATCTCAGTCACTCAGCCTTCTAACAACCAACAACCGCAACAGCCCGCAGCTGACTACCGCACAATCGTTCATGAGGAACTTAAGGAGATGAAGGAACGGGACAAGCGTAAGGAATCAGTGATCATCAAAGGCCTTTCTGCTTCATCTTCAATTGAGCTGACTGCCAAATTTGAACAGCTTTCAGATCAGGTCATGGGTGCCAAAGTGATTCTATCAGATGTGTCTCCCATCTCAGGTCATCCCAATCTTTATCGAGCTAAGATAAAAGATGCAAATCTCAGAAAGCTGGTACTTGAGAAAGCAAAAATGCTGAGAAGCTCTGATTTTAGCTCAGTCTATATTTCTAGAGATCTCACCTACGCACAGAGGACTGAACTATTTGCACGCAGGAAGGCTAAGCAGACGGAGGCTCAAAATGCTCAAAAGGTTCCTGTGAGAAACTCTGGCGGAGGAAACCTTCCCCAAGCACACTCCACGGAGAGTGCTCCGCAACCTACCCCCCAGGGAAACTAGTTAGCGCCACTGACTACGTGACTACCCTTAATAGTACCAAAATCCTAAGGATCATGTCCACCAATGTCAATGGCCTTGCTCCCAAGTTGAATATTCTGAAAGACAATGTTGGAATCCATCTGTGGGACATCATATGCGTCACCGAAACCCATCTTTTCGCTCACCTTCCTAGCTCCATTGTAGATATTCCCAATTATTCCCTGATCAGGCATGATGCCAGTGGCCATGTGTACAAACATGGTGTATGCAGTTACATTCACAACAGCTTGATGGTTGATTCTGTGACTCAATCTCTTCCAAATGTACTCTCTTTTCGTCTTACATCCTTTGATGTTTTTATACTGATCGTTTACAGAGCCCCCTCTAATTCCTCTGATGCTAATGAATCATTGAACTCATTCATACTATAGACTTCTGCATTGGCAAAGAGGTTATCGTTGCCGGAGACTTCAACCTGCCTAACATTGACTGGAGTCGTTCAAACCCTTCCTGTACTCCCCTTGAAAGAATGTTCCTCGACACATTCACAGCTGTTGGTCTTCACCAATGGATTATGGAGCCCACCTTTCCCAGGTCTGGGAATGTCCTTGATTTGCTTCTCACTTCAGAGTCTGACAGAGTAGGCTCTCTCAACGTATCTGCTCCACTGCCTGGTTGCGATCACTATTTGATATCATTTGATTACATCTTCGATATATCTCCAGATGGGACTCTTTTTTCTGGTCCGTCAACCTTGTCAAGGGATTGGAACAAGGGACACTACCACTCCGCAGCCCGCAATCTAAACGATGTTGACTGGGATGTTGAGCTTGCTTATTTAAATGCTAATCAATCTTTTGAACGATTTTCAGCCATCTTACACAGTGTTACAGTGGAATGCATCCCTCTCAAACCCCATAGAAAAGGAAGGCCTCCTTGGTCAACTAGGCCTCCTGCTAGCCTTCTCAACCAAAGACACGAGGCATGGTCCCATTACAAGACAGTGAGGGGGCGTCTGGGTCGAAAGTCCACAGAGGCCCGTTCCTGCTACTCCACCTTTGCCAGTATTAACCAGCGATGCCGTGCCCATGCTGTTAATGCCCAAGCCAAATATGAAGAAGACCTTCTCCGTAAATCCCATGAACAGCCTAAACTATTCCACTCTTACCTTAGGCATAAGAAGGTTGGCCGTCCTTCGGTTGGACCGCTGCAGCTGTCATCGGGCCAACTGAGTGATGATCCCTCCTGCATGGCTGAGATTTTTGCTGAGTCTTTCTCATCCGTGTATAGCCGCTCTATCCCATCCGAACCAAGCCCACACCAACAATTTCACGAATCCTCACTTGAACACATTGCTATTTCCCGTGAAGATGTGTTAAAGAGTCTTCTCGAGCTTGATGGAAACTCAGCCATGGGACCTGATGACATTCACCCTCTCTTATTGAAGAAGTGTGCTGATCAGTTGGCTCAACCTTTGATGACCATTTTCAACAGATCCCTCCGAGAAGGTACCTTACCAGATAGCTGGAAGAGGTCTCTTGTTGTTCCCTTGTTTAAGAAAGGTGTACGGTCTGACCCTCTCAACTACCGACCGATAAGTCTTACCTCTGTGCCGTGCAAACTGATGGAGCGCTTAATTTGTAAATCACTTGTTCCCTATCTGGAGTCAAATGAGATTATCAGTCCTCACCAGTTCGGGTTCAGGTCTGGAAGGTCTACAATGGACCAACTGCTACTGGTCTATGATGACGTGTCAAGACGGACAGATGAGGGTGCGGTAACGGATGTTGTTCTCTTCAATTTTAGTAAAGCGTTTGATGTAGTTGTTCATGAATTGCTTATAGATAAACTGATAAGCCTAAATATCAATGGAAATCTTTTGAAATGGATAATTTCATTCCTCACAAGCAGGTTCATGAGGGTATGTGTCAAGGGCAAATCAAGCAGTTCCAGACCTGTACTCAGTGGTGTGCCCCAGGGGTCTGTGCTGGGCCCGATCCTTTTCCTTATTTATTGAATAGCATTGCATCCGATCTTAAATGCGACTACAAAATCTTTGCAGATGATCTGAAAATATACAGCAGCTTTGAGCACAAACGTGACTCGGCACCGGGCTCCCCTATGTACCACTCCGTTCAACATGATATCGACGTTTTGCTGAGGACTGCCACATCGTGGGGTTTGCACATGAACGCCAAAAATGTGTGGTCCTACGCTTTGCTAGACCTTGTCCTAACATTAGCCAGCCATCCTACATCCTGAATGGTGCTCCGATAACTCCAGCAAGCAAGGCCTCTGACTTGGGCGTCCTTGTTGATGTCACCATGAAGTTTCATGACCACATCCGAAATGTAGCCCATAAGGCGGGTGGCCTAGCTGAAAGCCTACTTAAGTCCACAGTGTGTCGCTCTCCTCAATTTCTGCTGTCCCTTCTCACAACCCACATCCGACCAATCATGGAGTACTGTTCTTGCATTTGGAATACTGGGTATGTACAAGACCTTCGACTTCTTGAACGGGTTCAGCGGAGATGGACGAGACACATTGATGGAATGACTGGACTTAACTATGGTGAAAGGTTAGCTGCATTGGACCTCTATTCGGTACAGGGTAGACTGCTGCGGGCCGACCTGATCCAGTACTGGAAAATCCTAAATAACCACTCCTGTATCAATCCTAATGACCTTTTCCAGAGGCCCTATCGCAGCGGCACCAGGGGTCACGGATGTAAGATATTTCCCCCAGCCACCAGAACTGACACTCGCAAGCGCTTTTTTTCTGTTCGCTGTATTCGCATATGGAATGAGCTGCCTGCAGAGGCAGCATGCGCGACTAATATTAATAGCCTAAAACGCATTCTCGATACATGTATTCGTAGCAAACTGTTCGATTATGTAGATTAACTTATATGAAAATGCGAACTGTGTTGTGGTAATGATAACTGTATAGGTAGGTATCGTCTTACAACTTGTTTTTCTTATATGATGTAGGTCTATCTTGTACGACTATGTTTCGCGAGGCGCAATTTCCGGTCCATTATTAAATGTTATTATTTCTTGTCTGTCACCATTTGGACTGGCGCGTCTCTTTCATTTAGGGTTCCTTACATCCACCTAGCTTGACCCCTTCCTATCCGGACAAGCGAGGCAAAGAGGAACCCAACGAGGTAAGAATAAGAAAAAAACACCAATATAAGCGATGGTTAGTGCAGTGTCTTTGCCTGTTCGGGTCGGTAGTCTGTGCGCCCAGCAGAGCCGTCCGTTCAGCACACGGTGTATTACACAACTGCCAGCCCCCCGCTCGGAACTCGGGGTTGGCCGGCACACGCACAACCGTACGGCAACGCCACCGCTAGGTGTCGTGCCGTGCTGACACAGATGTCGCGCGAGTCGCCATCGCGCCACAACACCACCCCCCACCGACTTTACATCTGCATCACCAGGCGATCCGGGGGTCGGCGCACCCGGGTCGATCGACGTAACGGTTCAGCTTCTCTTCTCTGACCTCCGTCTTGTTTTCTTTCCTGCTCTTCTTTTCTTTCTTCCTCTCCGTCTGCTCTTCCATCTTGCCGTTTTCCCTGGTCATTTCCTCTCTGATCTTTCTGTTCTTGTCTCATCTCCCCTCTTTCTTGCTGATCTGTTCTTTCTCCCCCATCTTTTCTTTCTTCCCTTTCTTCGGGTTTTTCAGCTTGACGTTCTTCATGATCATCTCTTCTTTGTTCTCTCTCTTCTTGTTTCTTGTCTGGGTTTCTTTCTGGGCGGTCTTCCCTTCCGTCCTCTTTCTCCCGTCCTCTCTCTTGGCTCTGATCCTCTCTCTCGTGCTCTGTCTTCTCACCAGCGTGGATAAGCTGGTCTGCGTGTCGGCTCCATACGGCTACGCCAACGTCTACTTCGTACGATACTGGTCCTGTCTTTGCTAGTATCTTCCCTCGTTTCCACTTGGGGCCTGAGTAGCTTCTCGCCCACACTTCCTGGCCTTCTTGGAAGAGGCGGTGGCGTCCACCAGCATCTTCGATCATCTTTTCTTGAGCACCTCTGGCTGTTGTTCTGTCATCCGGTCGGAGGAGGTCGAGACGAGTCCGGATGTTCCGTCCGTATAGCATCTCTGCTGGGGTTTTGCCAGTAGCAGCCACTGGTGTAGAGCGGTGATTCATCAGGAACCGGGCCAGTCGCTGCTCTACACTGCCTCCTTCTCCTTGATTGGCCCGTAGACCGTTCTTGACCGTTTGTACGGCTTTTTCGGCTGCACCATTGCTGCTTGGGTGAAACGGCGCTACTCGGATGTGCCTGATTCCGTTTTTCTTGGTGAACGTCGCAAACTCTTCCGACGTGAACTGTGTCCCGTTGTCTGTTACGATCTGTATGGGCAGACCGTGTCGGGCGAACAGCTTCCTCAGCTCCTCGACAGTTCGTTCCGCAGTCGTCGACTTCATTGCCGTGACTTCGATCCATTTGGAGAAACTGTCTGATACGATCAGCAGCATCGTTCCCTGAAATGGACCGGCGAAGTCAACATGTATGCGCTCCCAGGGGCCTGAGGTCTGCTCCCATGGGTGCAGAGTCGACTTTGGTGGCGCTGCTCTCTTCTCCGTACAGGCTGAACAGCTACTGGCCAGATTCTCCAGCTCACGGTCCAAACCTGGCCACCACACATGTCGACGGGCCAGCTGCTTCATTTTGCTGCTCCCCATGTGTCCTGAGTGTATTTCTTGCAGCACTCTGTTCCTCAGTTTGGTCGGCACCACCAGTCTTCCTCCCCAGAGTACGCAGTCGCCCTCCGTGGACAACTCGTCCTGCCTCAGGTGGAACGGCTTCAGCGTAGGATCCACCGTTCCCGGCCATCCGGTGCGCACGTACTGGAGTACTCTCCCGAGTACTGGGTCCCGGCGAGTGTACACCTCCACTTCTCTTGCGTGCAGCGTGGGCCCCTCGTTCTCCGTGTTCAGTACCTGGGGGCACCATTCCTCTTCCTCCTCTTGTGTGACGATGCTCAAAGGCAGTCTCGACAGTGTGTCGGCGATTCCCATCGCATCTGTTCTGCGCAGCTCGACTTCATACGAATGCGCGGCCAGCTGTAGCGCATATCGCTGCATCCGTGCCGCAGCCAGGCTCGGCAGCTCACGGTGTGGGTTGAGAATCATGGACAGCGCTCTGTTGTCAGTGACCAAACAGAAGCGACGTCCATACAAGTACTGATGGAATTTCTTGATTCCAAAGGAAACGGCCAGGGCTTCCTTTTCCAGCACTGAGTACTTTTTCTCGGTTGCAGTCAGTGTTCTTGAGCTGTAGCACACCGGGCGCTCCAGTCCGTCAGACAGGACGTGGACCAGTACTGCGCCTACTCCGACTGAGCTGGCATCAGTGATCAGTTTGATGGGCATCTGGGGATCGTACCTCATCAAAACTTTGTCACTGGACAGCACTCGTTGGATCTCTTCCACCGCTCTCTTGCATTCACGGCTCCACTTCCACTTCACCTCCTTCTTCAACAGGTTGTAGAGAGGCGCCAGAGTTGTTGCCATGTTCGGGATCAGTCTCTGGTAGTAGTTCAAACTACCGAGCAGTGTTCGCAGTTCACTGACGTCCTTGGGCTCTGGCATCTTCAGGAGAGCCTCGATCTTCTCCGGCACTGGCTTCAGGTCGGTCCCTGAGATCCGCCATCCCAGATACGTCACCTCCTTGAGGTTGAACTGGCACTTGCTCCTCTTCAGTCGCACTCCATGTTCGGTCAGTCTCGCCAGCACCTGGTCCAGCGACTTCAACATCTCCTCCTCTGTGCCTCCCATCACCAGTAGGTCATCCAAGTAGTTGACACATCCATCCAGCCCCTCCAAGATTCGGTCCATGGCTGACTGGAAGATGTCGCCACAGGAACTTATCCCGAACGGTAGCCTGTTCATGCGAAGAAGTCCCTTGTGTGTGGTGACAGTCGTCATGTTCTTCGACTCGTCGTCGAGCTCCATCTGCAGGTATGCATCCTTTAGATCTAGTTTGCAGAATCTCTTCCCTTTTATCCTCACGAACAGCTCTTCAGGTGTGGGTAGAGGGTGCTTCTGTACCATCAGCTGCGGATTGACTGTGATCCTGTAGTCTGCAGCTAGTCGAACACTTCCATCCGCCTTCGGCACAGGGACTAGCGGCGTTCCCCAGCCTGTGTTGAGGTTTCTGTCCACTTTCTCTGCCACACCTTCTCTCAGCCACCTGTCCAGCTCTGCGTCCACCTTCTGAAACAGAGCATGTGGGACTTGTCTCGCTTTCCGGAACACCGGTCTTGCATCTGGCTTCAGTGTCAGATGAGCTTTGATGCTGACGCAGCCCAGTCCCTCTTCAAACACTTCCTTGTGTTTCTCCAGAACCACTTCCAGCGGCTCTTGTTCCATCATGTTGACTTCAACACATCCTGGCCCTGTCACCCTCAACGCCTGAATCCAGTCTCTTCCCATCAGGGCCCTCCTTCCAGTCATGTCAGCCACCACCAAGCACAGCTTCCTTCGCACTCCCTGCTCTGCAGAGACTTCCACATCAGCTTCACCCACCAGTGGAATCATGTGACCTGTGAAGGACTTCAGCTTCAGCTGTGATGGTCGGATGTCGAGACCAGGTACCATCATGTCCCGGCTCACAATTGACACTGGGGATCCTGTGTCAATCAGCATCTGCAGCTCACATCCATTGACCAGCACGGACACCTTGCTTCCCCTTTCCTGGAGGTCCTGCTTGTCACTGACTTCCCACAGGTTCAGGTGCATCTCTGTCTGTCCTGCTTCGACTGCATGAACTCTGCCGCCCTTTTGCTGTCTTGGCATCTTAGTCTTGCAGCATCGAGCAAAATGGCCCATACCACCACATTTTGCACACTTCTTCCCTCGTGCTGGGCACCGCGGACCACCAGCACTGTGTCCACGGAACTGACAGGCCGTGCAGGGCTTGTCCTCCTGTCCTCTGTTGTCCTTAATGTGAGTGGCTGACCTGGTCTTCTGCATCAGATGCACATGCTGCTCTTCCTGGTGGCTCATGTTCTTCAACATGTTCACAGTATGACCCTCTGGCTGTGATGACATTTCTTGTGTCACACGTCTGGTTTCCTCCCACACTCTTGCCATGGTCAGAACTTGCTGCAGAGAAAGGTTGTCACCCTTCTCCAGCGCTTGATGAAGCAGCTTCTCTTGTAGGCTGGGCTTACATCCAGCGATAGCTCGGTCACGCACTTCACAATCTAATCCTGAGCCACTGAAGCCACATTTGCGTCTTTGAATCTTGAGACGGCTGACATACTGCTCAAACTTCTCATCCACCTTCATAGTCATCTTGTGGAACGTCATTCTCTCAGCAATCACATTTTTCTCTGGAGCTAAATAGCTTTTAAATCGTTGTACAGCCTCCTTGAAACAATCAGTCTCACCTGGCATCACCACGGGCTGCAGTGACTCAAAAATGCTTTGATAATCTGGCCCCATCATGTGTAACAGGACAGCCTTCTTCCTTTCTGGGCCCGATATATCTGCTGCTATGAGATATATTTCGAGACTTCCGACCCACTTTTGAAAGTCATCACCTGCTACATATTCCTTAACACCCGGCAATCTAAGTCCAGCCATGTTCTGCTCACTGTTCTTCTGTAATTCACCTTTGGCGCCTTGCCAGACCGCTGTCCGTCCCTCTCTTGTAAACAACTTTCACTGACCTTGGCCGCCAAACCACACAAACAGCTGACTGGTCAGCTGATTTCCTCTGACCGCTCTGGCCAGTCGACCCGAGATCAGCTGTTTCACCTCACGAACAGCTGACTCGTCAGCTGATTCCCGATCACCAGCCGACCCGCAATCAGCTGTTTCGCCACGTCCTCACCACCGCCCTGTCCACATGGCACACCGCAAAAACTCAATTATTTCCCGTCGCCGGTATTTCTTCTCTTGTTTGGCCGTCCCTGCATTCCACCAACAGGCACGTAAAATCCGTTTCTTTTTCTCGTCGCCACGTGCAGTGTCTTTGCCTGTTCGGGTCGGTAGTCTGTGCGCCCAGCAGAGCCGTCCGTTCAGCACACGGTGTATTACACAACTGCCAGCCCCCCGCTCGGAACTCGGGGTTGGCCGGCACACGCACAACCGTACGGCAACGCCACCGCTAGGTGTCGTGCCGTGCTGACACAGATGTCGCGCGAGTCGCCATCGCGCCACAACAGTTAGCCCTCGCCGGCACAGGTCATTTTGCGTCCTTCGACGGCACAAGGGGGGGGGGGGGGTTGGTACGACCCCCCTCGCGTTTGGCCCCTGATAGAGCTAGAGCTTCGCGGAAAAACGAGCATGTTGCCCGTCACGAGAGGAAGCCGATGATACCCAATTTTAAGGTCCTAGGTCATCGGGTGACCTTCCAGGTCAGGTCAATGACCCGAAAACCGGGAAAATCGGGACCTGTTAGAAAGTCGTAAAGTGTGACTGCTTTGTGGTTTTCCGGGGTGCTGATCACGAATATCGTGTCAGTTTTGATCAGAGATGATGTCTTTAAGCATTTAGACCAGGTCGGGTCAGGTCAGGTCAGGTCAACCGGTAGGGGTTGTGACGGGTATTCGTAATACTTGTCAACCGCCTCTGGCAGCTTCGTAACATGTTACGAAGGCACCAAAATTACTTCGTAAATGTTCAAATGGTTGCTAAATTCGAATTCAGCTCCAAAAACTAGCCTAAAAACATGTAAAACTCGAAAAAGTGAACCGACGCCACCCGAGGTCACCAAAGGTCAATGACATGATCTGACCTTCAGGTGACCTTGAAACCCACCCTTATGTATGAGAGCAACATCAAATCACATGTTTGAACGCTTGAAACCACGAAAAGCTTGCAAACGCGCGGCTAATGCCAGCCGACATACGCCGAATCGCGATTCCGGCCAAACATGGTCTCGGAAAAAAGGTTGGTCACAGGTCACAGGTCATTTGGGTCAGGGTCATGAAATTTTAACCCGCGCCGGGCCGGGGGTGTTTGAACACCCCCCCCCCCCTGCGGTTTTTCGCAGATATCTCAAAAACGGCGGCGCAGAGCGCCGCCGTTTTTGGCATACCTGTTCGTGCATCTTTTCTGCACATGTTGTGAAAATTTCAGACCCAGGTCACCTTAGGTCAGGTCACCAGGTCACGCCAAGTGACCTCACCTCAGAAAAAATAAGAATGCTCGTCATAGCTACACCGAAGAATGATGCTTAATCCCCATTTCCACTCCAACAGGGCTTGAGAGTCCAGGCATTCCTGTGGGGCACGGGCTAACAATGACTAGCTCATAATCATTGTGGCCATGAACATCTACTGCCATTGATTAACACCGGTTTCGCTGCGCTGAGCGGTGGCCGTCCCGTTTGTTGGATTCTACAGCTGGCTGGCGGAAAGCGTTACCGGTCGCCCGTCCACCGCCCGCGGGCCGGACCGAGCGGTCCCTTCTTCTTCTTCTTCTTTGTGGGTTAGGGCGCGCAGCCGTCAGGCCCTAGCGTCCAACTTCTTCGTTTCTTGCATTCAACTGTCCGATCTTCCACGATGTAGTGTCGGGGTTGGTAGGTACTAAGCGGTAACTAAGCAGGGTTGTGGGTAGCCGGAAAAGGAAAAAACCTAGGGAAGGACAAATGCCAGGGGAGGAAATTGCTGGGGAAGGATTAAGCCAGAAGGAACAGACCTGAGTAGCAGTGTTAGTGTCAGTTTGATTGGGCAGCAATCTACAAAATGATGAAAGAAAGATCAATACTCTTCTAGTACGTAACTGGGCGGAGCAAGGGGTCACGCGATACAGGGGCGGAACTGGTTGCCCTCCCGCTCGCCGAGCGACCAACGACTAATACCCTGGAGAACCGTACATCAATTTTGGACAATTTGTGAAATATTTGACCCCAGGTCATGTCAGGTCAGGTCACCAGGTCAAGTTTACTGACCAAACATAAAAAAGTTTGCAATCATGTCCAGCCTGCAGTGTTGGTCAGAAAGGTTTTAAACTTGGTGGATTGCATGATGTTATAGGCGCCTATAATTTGTATATCTCGGATTTTTCATATCCGTGACCTAAGGTCAGGCCAGTGGCGTGACCTTACCATTATAAGTCAATGGAGAAAAATGAAAATGCCTCTAAATCCGTGTGTACGCATAGGAACAGTCCAAATATTTCAGAATTACAATGATTTGGACCACCCGTGACGACCAAGGTGTCTTTTTTGCTGATAGCCTCTAGAAAGGTCATCCGAGGTCATTTGAGGCTACAAACAGCTTTTTGCCAGTAACTCTCGAATGGAAAGACATAGAACGCTGGGGATGGTCTCATTGTGTTTGTCTTGCCGAGACGCATCGACTGATATGCAACATGACCTTTTCCGGTCAGGTCATGACCTTGACCTGAGGTCAAATTTTCAAGTTGACCTTTCAAGGTCAAATTATAATTCATTTGATGCGTCTTGGCAAGAGGAACATGATTCTGGTAATAGAAATGTCTTGGCTTTTTTTTAGTCAAAAGTTATTGTCGAAAAACACTTTTCGTAAAAACAGCTATTTTGGAGTTTTTGCCCTCTGGAGGCTAAACCGTTGACCTGAGGTCAATTTTGATGATAACCTTATCGAAAGAAGAGTTTAAAAGCTATCGATTGCTATTCCATGCGTTTTTCTAGCTATCATAGTTCCTGAGATAAATTCATGTTTTCTGAAAAATATAATGACATTTGACAAATTTTAACCTTTGATGACCTTCAGTGACCCCAATATTGCTCTAAGATGAAAAATGACCGAAATACTTTCAAACGTACGCATTAAGAGCTATCGACTGCTTTTTACCGCGTCTTTCTAGCCCTCTATAGTTTTTGAGTTAGAGGTGGGTGGTAGCATATGCCCCCCCCCCACACTAGGGCGAAGTTGACTGAGATCGCCACTGGGGCGCGGGTTAAGGGGGTTCCTAATTAGGCACCTCACCCTACGGACGAGGGTTAAATAGGTGCAGTGCATGACGCTGAGCCATGCAGCGTTAACTCCGACTCCGGAGTCGGAGTCGGTAAGATTTTGGCGACTCCGACTCCGGGCAGAACTGTCGACTCTGACCGACTCCAACTCCGACTCCGACTCCGCAGCCCTGTTTCGACCCAATAAAAGCTGGTTTAGCGGGAAGAGCTGTCACGCTTACAGTTTTGAAGATAACGAAAGATATTTAAGATAAAAAAGATGTAAAATAAACAGCGCTACAAAACTGCTAACTCTAATTTCTAAACAAAAATTGATTTTAACCATCAAAACTATAGAAGTATAACTAGGGCGTATTTTAACATGTTAACTAGTTCGGCAATGGCTGACCCAGTCACGGAGAATGCCGACCCATTGACAGCCGTTTGCCGACCCAGTTGCCACCCCTTCTAGGATGCAGGCTGCAGCACGCACATGCAGGCTACTGTTAACGCCAGACTCCTTGAGACCCTAATTTTTCGCGATTATTCTTTAATGCGTGGAAGAATTTCAACCAAACTCAGGACATGGCCGCTTCAAGACCTGCCGAAACTTTTACAATTTAGATATTTTGTCGCTATTTCTTTATTTCAAGCACTTCTCATTGACTCGTAATGTTATATTTCGAGCAAGATTTTCAGCCGGTGTGTAGGGGCTATCACCAGTCAGTCTGTGATACGTTATGACGTCACAGCTAAGCCCCGCCTCTGTGGTCTTGGCCAGGGGCTTAACTTTTTTTTTTGTTGGGGGGCACTGCTGTTAGGGGCGCCTTTTTAAGAGCATTAGGGCGCCTCCCCGTGTCTTTCTACGAATTAGTCCTAATTCAGTTTACGGCAACATTTTTACGTTTACCAAACACATTGTATTTTGTGCCGTTGTCTTTTGGCACGTTGTGTTGCAGCATTTTGCTTCCGCAGTGGCGCGCCGAAGGTTCGGAAATTTTTTGAAACCAAGCACATTTTGAAAGCAATTTGGGGGTCAGCAACCGCGGGCGAGTTGTGGAATTACCA